ATATCAAAGTGTAATAGTCAAGTAGACACGACCGCAATTAGAGCGTACTATAAAGTGTTGTACTGTAATTTCATTTTAACTTCACTACTGGCTGTTGACATTTCTGTTTTTTTCGCACTTAATGCCAGTTAATTTGACTATTGTTTTACGGATTGAAAAAGAGAAAGGCTCACTAGGAGGACTGAATGGATAAATCAGGGAATAGAAGCCGTGTGGGCGAATGAATGGATAGGTTTTGCTGGTAAAGTTAGGTTGAATGTGATGAGTCGACTTGTAATATTTGCTCAACTGCCTGAGCAATTTGATGCTTTGAACGAAAATTAAAAATCAAAACGACACGTTAACTTATTGATTAGCAACCAACTGCAGCAGTCGTTTCACCTGTTTGTAAACGCAAACAACTACAAGATAAAATTAAAGGGTCCTCAGTCTTTGAAACTAGTCGTGCCACATCGCCGCTTCACTAGTGATTAACAGAGTTATAGACTTCACTATTTTGTAAAGGTAACGTTGATACAGAGTGGATGCTCCAAATCCGTGAAACTAATTCATACTAAATAGTGTTGATTAGACAATAGTAGAGCATGGAATTTAGCATAATTTAGCGCTGTCATTGTAGTATTTTTGGTTCACGGCGTAAGACGACTGAAAACAAGGAATGCGTGAGAGAGTAAAGTCAAAAATGCCTTGAAATATATATRTTACACTCAGTACACGTCAGTACGCTCGAGTGATCGCACTTCGTGCAACTGTACAAAATCTAAGTAGTACTAATTTGTACTAAAAGTGGACCTGAAGCAAGACGGAATTGAATGTTTCATTTGTATCAATTCAATTTAATTTGCGTACCGCATGCACGATTTACTAAATACAACTAAATAGCACTATGTTTGTACAGTTGAACGGATTAAGTGCGATCACTCTCCAATCGCGTCGTTTTGTCGTGTTTTTGATAGTCAAGTTTTGGTTCACGGATTTAGTGCGTTCAAACTATTTTAGCACTTATTGGCATGATATTTAATTATTTTCAAAATTAAAATATTCGTGCCAAAAGCACAGCTTTGCTTTCCTATGCACACTTTGATATTTTCGCTTCTCTAGAATGAAGACCGCCATCTTTATCGTGGTATTTTCTGTACTTCTGGCTTCTGTCTTGGCTGAGGTATCTGCTGATGACCAAGCCACCGCTGCTGAAAAACGAGGATACTGTGGCTGTTCTTGYAGCAACATCAACGGGATTTGTAACTGTGTACAGACCGGCGGGAATGGTAAACGAAGTATTCTGAGGTTCAGACCATCAAAGCGTGGTTGGTGTGGCTGTAGTTGTTCTAGTATCAATGGTGCTTGCAGCTGTACTGGAGTTTGATTTCAATGTCATGGAAATATTKAATGAAGCTGTCAAATAATAAAGTCTAGTGAAAAAGTATCGAGAGATATAGAGTAGCTTGTTTTGGAGCTATATAATTTTAGCTTTATAATTTAGGGATCAGTATATTTGTGTAGAGTTCTTTTCTTATATCTGATAGAATATCCTTGTTAATATTTTTTTTAGCCTGCGTAGCGGCTCTAGGGGAGGGGGGAATACGGAAGGGGAGGGGTGGAAGGGTGGGGGGGGGGTGTTGGAGCGGAAAAAAGGAGAGGCTCTTCCGTATTCCCCCTTCCCCCCTCCCCTAGAGCCGCTACGCAGGCTAATTTTTTACGTGGGCTTCCTGTGGAAGCACACGTCTTAAAATGCAACTGGCGATTTCGTCGTGGTCGTCGTCGTGAATATTACGCTTCAAATTGGTAGCGCATCGATAGCGCATGCGTTACAGTCTCAGTTTCCATGGAGATGTCAAAATAAACCAATCAGCGATTTTTGGTAGCGCCTGCGTTGCAAATGGACTGCAGTCTCAGAATGAAAACAAAATGGCTGACAGACGGCGGCAAAAAGTTGTCTCGTTTCAAATGGTTCTAAAATGTAGCTAAAATGCTCTAAAGAGCTGAAAATCTTACAAAATCAACTGGTTACCATCCAAACGACATGGATTGAGGTATATAATTCAAGATTAGCGGATGATTCGTGCAGAAATGACTGGGCATTTTCTACCGCCGACTCGAAGAGCAGTACTTCTTCGTCACACAAGTGTTCGATGTCAAACACAAAATCTTCAAAAATAAGAAATCACATGGATATTTAAGGTTCATACTTTGACAGAAAACAATCATTCGATGGAATAAAGCATATCAAACCTCATCTGAAAAATATTGATGCCATTTTCTAAACTAACGATGTGTTTGAATTTCGGAAAACTGCACGTGTGAGCTTTACTGAACTCTGTATACAAAATCTATATTGTGTATGAAGCATTTTAATTAATTAATTAATTCTCTATTGTTTGTTTTGATGATTGTTTAACTTGAAAAACTTAGACAAATCCAAAAATATGAACTGTCATTAGAAGGCTAAGGTACACCTTTATGATTTCACAGAACACCAGATGTCAAATTAATGAAAAACACCAAATAAAAAAGAACAGAAACACAAGATACAGATACATGATTCAAATGATCAAAATATTATTCAAAGCTATACTGCCAAGACTGTACCGTTTCTATTGTTTATATGACCTATATGACCTATCAGATATTTTGACTAATATAGACGCTCTTGAGCGTAAAGTCGAGCTAGTTATTTTGGAAAACTGAGAAAAAAGACATGGTATCAAAGAATTTACTTAGAGTTCAGTTCGGTAAAAAAAATGTAATAAATTGATAACATATTAACTTAATTCTGTCTTGAATTATTACAAACAAAGACTATCTTGTGAAAATGAAACAACATTGTCACAGGAAGCCCACGTAAGCGATCCATGATCGTCTAGTTATATTAAGAGTACTGTGAGAGTGACCTAGTCGATCCATGATCCTATCAGAGGATTTAGGTTTCATACTACATCAATGACGAGTGCACGATTTCAACCAATTTTAGTAAATACAGACACCATCGTTAGCACATTACCATAGGCTGTCCAACTATTGCTTGAGAATGAGAGAGAAAGAATGCGCATTTTTTTTTATCGGCGCTCGCTTTGTATTTGCGGATWACCTATGGCTTACGTCAAAATCTCGTGCCTCGCGGGAATGTAAACTAGTCTGTATCAACCTACGCAATTATGTCACAAAGCAATTTTGAAAATGATGGATATTTTTTATGAGATTAATTGATTAATAGGTGGTATGACATCATGGTCAGTTTGATTGATATTTGCTATCCCCTTTCACTAAGGAATAATACGTTTGTAACGGAGGAACATATTGCTGAGCGGCCTGAGTACATCTTGATTGTCACCTTCACTGAAGAACAAGGTATGCACACTAAACAGATGTGAGCTTTCTTTTCACGACGCAATTCGTGTTGTATGTATGACGCGCACAACTTGTTTATAACTTGACTTAGGTAGTTGTAGTGAGTTGTAGGCTCGATTTACTCGACGCAATTCGTGTTATAACTGGAAGAAAGACAAAAAATATTTGCAGTCGGTACAATTTGTGTTGATCGTGTAGCATCAGAGTTTTGGAGTGTTGTACACGTCCACAAGGGAACAGTTAGATTACAGCAACGCTATAGAGATTTTTACAACGCAGGAAACAAGATGCGTTTTTCCATTCTTTATATTTGTGTAACTGTTATTCTAAACTTGCTTTTTTCTTCTCTAGGATGAAGACCGTTATCTTTACTGTGATATTTTCTCTGTTGCTGGCCTCTGTCTTGAACACGAGATCTGTTGATGAGCAAGACCATGTAGCAAAACGTGACGTACCGATGAGAAAGTTTACAAAGCGTGAACCACCAATGTTCTGTGCGCTCTGTCATTTGAGTGGAAGAACTTGTCGTCGGTGTTGATGTCCTTGTTCGTTGATGTAGGTGTCGTGTGACTACCATATATCCACATCACACGCCAACCACATTTAATAATAACATATTTGCTTACAATGAATATTCAACAATAAAAATGTGCACTGAATGAACTGCTACAAACATTCAACGATCATTGATTTAAGGAATGTTTAACTCAATAAAACATTGGAAAGCTTGTGAAAACCCCGCTTTCAGTAAAGTCATATTGTGTGGCTATTCACGATTATTCAAAAACGTGGTCAAATTCTTTTTTGCAACGTGCATCACTAATGGAGATTTAGGGTTCCTCCATTCGTAAGAATTGCATGATCGAGTAGAGCTGCATCTAATTAAAAGTAAACAACTAAGGCTTTTTGTCAAGAACGTTCCATAATGTCGATATCTTTTAGTTTTCCTCTAGAATATAGTGAAGTAATATGTAAGAGTTTACTGCGGTGGCTGACCCGATAAAGTTGTCCTTTCTGTGAGATTTTAAACCCCGAGAGCTGTTGGGTGGGTGGATGGGGCTTCTAGTGCCCCGGGCTAGTGTCAAAGGGTTAGGATGCTTGTTGTACCTTTTAGGTGTCTTGGAGATTAATGGGCCACCATAACTACAGCTGATACCTTTCCATCTTTACATCGTTTTTACCCATTCACTGTTTCAGCAGGTTTCGTTGTTTGTACTGCATTTACTTTCAATAACTGCTTTCAAAATGGTACGTGGATTTTTTTTGTTGGTACCTKTTTTACCTGGAGTTTCATTGCAACAATGCTTTTTGGTCTTGGAATGCACTTTGTTGCAGAATGCAGTATTCAACGTTTTCTGCAATAGTTGTATAATATTTTAAAACTGAAAACCGAATTCATCGCTATAGTCCTGGTAACCTAGAGTTCTTTCTGCGTTATTGGCTACTGGCTAACAGAAATGAATCTGATTCGCTGATCGAGAGATGATTGACAGGATGATTGACAGGCAAGAGGTTTTTGGTATTTAGCAAACTGATCTTAGGAGACTGCAATTTCTTCTAAATAACTGTTCTTATACGACTTTTTTTTCTGGGAATGTGATTCTGAAATGAGACTATCCTGACGAACAATTGTTCAACAAGTTGCTTTTGTCTGTTTTTTTTCCTACACAATTTCACGGAGCATAGATACCAGTTAGCCCCTCGAAAACTTTTTATTGCAGAGCTGTTTCATCTGAGCTGGGGTAAGGAGTTCATCAATTGACTTTTAAGGTTTAGGTAGGATGGTTTGGTCTGTGCAGGATTTTTTYTTTAAAACCGCGCTCAAAATTAATTTGTTAAAATTAAAAGGACACTCGTAGAGATTTCGACTTGCAGGATATTTATTTTCAAATTCATCCATTCACTCAAAGATGTGATGGTCAGCCGCTAAGGTTGTAATTTCCAATAAAATAATTTTCCACTTTCCAGGATTTTTGGTTGGCAATTTTCGAGTAAAGACSGGTATGAGTATATTCAGTTGTTTACAAATTAAATTCTATCTTCGGAAACAATTTTGGCATTATAAAGCGGAGTCAAGTTTGTGCTGTCAGGGCAGCCATGTGCTTGGCCGACATAGAATGAATTCAAGACTACCAATTGTAACTTGATTGGCTCACAACTCGGCATTGAAAGAGAACAAAACCTATGCACTCTTTAACTCGTAAGGGCAGAAACTGTCACGAGTAAAAACGCCACGTTAATTTATAGTGATTAGCAACCAACTGCAGCAGTCGTCTCAACAATTACAACCTCATTCTTTGAGAAGCCTTTGACTTATAATATTTCAAGAGGATACAGGCTTGAGTCAGTTGTACAACCTACAGCAAGGTAAAGATTCTAGAGTAATTTTGTGCCAGGCGAAGTCTAATGAGTTCGCGCGCGTGAAAGCGGACCTGAAGCGCAACGAGACCTTCAGATAGAATTACAAWCTGACAAGATGTCAGTCTGATATAGAAGGAAGATAAACCTAAGTAGGTAAAAGGGTTAGTAGCAGGSAAGTACATTCCGCACAAAGCATGGGACTAACGACAAAGAAAGTGCTAGGATGACTCTTAGTTAGACCGGTGGTAAAGACGAAGAGACCACCATTAACAGAAGTCATGCATAGCCATGCATACAGACATTAGAGCGATATACAAAGTAATTATTGTCAATGAAACGTTTTTGTCTGTTGTAGATTACACCTTCAAGGTAGGCGATGATCACTTGAGGGTCAAAGRACCAGGCCAGGTTGACATCGAACCTGATGCAATACACATCCATCAAAACTTGAACAATACATTATTTGAGAACGATATTGCTCTCATTAAACTCAAAAAAGAAAGTGAATCTAGGTCCGTATGTACGTGCCGTATGCTTACCAAAGAATGATGAAAATTTAGTTCAGCCAGAAAGCATGGTTACTAGCCCCCCCCCCCCCCCCCCCCCSCCCCACCGAATAAAAGACATTCCAAGGTTTTACGGCATTCTCCATTTATCGTTCAAAGCAAAGGAACTTGTCGCAACGCAACCAAATACTTCGTCAACCCTAAAGTCACTTTCTGTGCGGGAGATGGAAAAGGCGTCAACGACACGTGTACAGGTGATTCGGGCGGCAGCTTTGTCAGAGAGTCAAGGCAGAGCGACGGCAAATGGCGATGTGTCTCTACAGGGTTGTTATCGTGGGGGGGGGGGGGGGGAGGGCTGCGGATTGTCAGGAAAATATACCTATCATACACGAGTAGAGACAGTGAAGGTGAATATTTACATGCCAATTATTCTGTATTCGTGTCTTATTTTTCACCCGTTATTCATTGTATATATTTTTGCTATTATTCATTATTCTTTACGATATTTTTGATTTTTTTCATTATTCCTTTTCGATTTTTTCATTATTTATTATTCCTTAGGAGTTTTATTTGATTATTCTTTATTCCCAGTCAATTTTGAACCGTTATTCATTATTTAATATTCACCCGGTGTAGACTAGATCAAGGAAATTATAAAAAAGAATGAGAAGAATCTGATAAATAACAAAGCAATATTATTAAATTATGAATATATAGCTTGAGTTTTGTGGAGCTCCGTAAAGACTGCGTACATATCATTATTTCAACGAGAATAATGAATTATTCTGAAATTGTAAGATGAATWWACAGAATCAAAAATCGCAAAAGCGATCTCTCATTGACCTATGGTCATAGCACTCAGAGTGTATTATTTTCTCATGAATATGATATGAACAAACACGTTCAGTAGATCACTTCGGCTTACATAGTAGACGGACCATCATCTGTAGAATTGGTCGGATTTGAGCGGATGTGTTTGTCGGTGAGTATAATGAATTATGACATGAGGAACAAAATATTTATACAAAAGTAAGATATGCCTACTAATAACAGATATAGTGATGTGATCTTCTCTTCAAAACATGCAAAGAATAAATATCATATTGTTAGTTCCTGTTTTGACAGGAAGACCAGTTATCAATATTAACATTGCATGTAATGATGTAAGGTCTGCCGTTTCTCTCRCAGGCTTTAGTTACTTTAGTGCCTCTACCATCGACGTTTTTGCGCATCCAATTTCTGGTCGGAATGCATTCAATTAAACATGCGCAATATTTCCGATATAATTCGATCCATCGCCAGACCTTCCTTCATTCAGTCCATGCACAAACTTCATAATTAATAGTATTTTTATTACGATATAATGAATGATTGCACGTTGACATGATACGATTTCATTGATTGTTTATATAGATAATGAAGCGAGCTRTCGTCTTGGTAATTATACTGATAGTAAACATCGMATTAAATGCCTTCTCGCTGCAATGTAAGTAGCTGACATTTTGCCAACTGTGCATTTGGACCCACTGCATATGATYTGAGGTCAGCACCCTAYCATGTCATCATGGTTTGTTTAAAAGAACGAGGGTAGAMAGGATAGAYTCAGTGATTTAATTCATAGATTTTATATAAGTAATGAAGCCCTTTTCAAAGCCTTTTTCTCGGATTTCATTATAGATGCAGTCTTAGTTTTTGTCATCAACAGAGCTAACYCCCTTCTCCCAATCTCCCCCACCCCCTCTCCCCTCCCCACAATAGATAGGAAAGAAATGACATAGACTTTTGTTTTATAGATGACCATTGTGGAGAGAGATTGATTAAAAGCCGCAGTTTGMTTGTCGGAGGAAAAATCTCGCGACGAGGCATGTGGCCTTGGCAAGTTGGCATCTACAAAAAACAAGAAGGTGGGAAATCTTTACTACTGGGTATCATATGAATACAGAGCTAACCTTTTTAATAATCTTTAATAAAGAATTAGGGCATCAAAGTATCTCTCCTGGTCTAGAATGTATTATCTTATCTTTTTTTACATGATCAGTTTCAGGATGGAAGTTCTTGTGTGGTGGTGCGTTGGTATCTCCACAATGGGTTCTTACCGCTGCACATTGCTTTTACGTTGAGAAACGTACTACAAATAGGGTTTGGTTTGAACAAGACATAAATACACTCACAAAGTAAGTTAACCTGCTGTTTTGCAATGTTCGAGTCAATTGTTGAGTGAGTATCAAGATGTATTTTTGCTCCAGGTATAAAATCAAAGTTGGTGATCATGAATTAAGAAGCTATGAATCATCAGAACAAGAACATCAATTCCAAGAAATAATCGTACATCCCGACTACAGGCATGACCCCATCTTTGAGAACGATATCGCTTTAGTTAAACTAAACCGTGAAGTCATTCTCGGCCCGTATGTGCGCACTGTTTGTCTTCCTGGACCTGACCTGTACCTTGCTAAACCAGGTACAGCAGGAATGGTTGCTGGATGGGGAATTACTGAATCAAGTTATGGTTCTTCGTTTCTTCGCTACTCCTC